TTTTTGTTTTTTTTTTTATATACATACAGAAATTATAATGATTCATAAATTGAGAGAATATTTTCTTTCATAAAAATTCGCGAATTATTGTTGTTTGTTGTCTGCATTTCGGAACGCGATACAATTTTCTTATACAGAATATTTGGAACACTCAAATGAAATGCTTCTAAGCTTCAATGAAAGTGCAATCTATGTGCTTTATAAACACTCCAACAGGTCGAAAAGGTCCAACGCAGTTGCTGCGAACTATGTTATTACAGTTATTGCCGTTAGATATTTATGCGTAAACATAAAAAAGCGCCTGTGCTTGAGGAAAAAAGCATTAAATAATGACAAAAGATAATATAAAACGAACTTAACGCAGACAATAAATTTCAGTCGTCAGATTTATTTGTTTGAACTGTCACATTGAATTCAAGTTAACATTACAAGAAATGCAATTAAACACATAACTTTAGCTATAGCAATATTTTTTACAAATGCAATAATTTTTGCAAACAATAGAACGTTTTTTACTGCAGCTCTCGTGAATATTTAAAAAAAAAAACAAAAAACATTATTTACTTAATGAGCGTTCATTTAACAATTTATAAATGTTCAAGCATTTTAAGCGCTTGGCTTGCGGTTGAACGCATTAAAAATGCATTGTGTTTGCCATAATTCATGCTATTAAAACAAGTTAAGAGAAAAAAGTATTTAATACCATAAATAATTTAAATTCATTACAAACAATTTTGCAAAAAAAAATGGCAACACTAGTAAGCAGTCGTAAATCAGTGGTGCTAAGCCAATACGCAAGTACTTACATATGACTTCAGATTCAATACAAATATATATGTATATACATTTTTTTTTTTTTTTTTTGTAGAGAAAAAGTTTCAAATTTTGGTTTGGCATAGCATTTTTATAGCCAATTTGACAACAATGAAATGAAACTGTTTTCTCCAACCAATCGGCTGCATTTACGCAAATTAATTTCATATTTTGAAGACTTGCCACAATGCCACAAAACCGCATAATGCTGCTCAAAACTCTTGAATCCTATCAGACAAACAGCTTGAAACAATGCCTTTGTTCAGCATGCATACACATAAACAATTATTTTTTATGTAAGCGTATTAGTGCACAAAATGTCATTGATTTTAATGCAAAGAAGTGTGTGCATGTGTGAGATATGTATACAAATATAATTTAAATATAATTTAAGCAAAAGCTATTCTGCCACAAAATTAAGACAATATTTGGTGATAAGTTTGCGCCTTGATGTATGCTAAGAAAAATCTAATGAATGCTGTGTTTATTCAATTCAATTCAATCAACTTCAAGTATGGCAAAGATATGTATGGCTCAGATTAATAATAAGAAATTGAATGTTCTGAGGGCTATCATTTATGCAACAAAGCAGAATCTATTTAAATTGAAAAGTAAACAAAAGTCGGCAATTATGAAGATTTAAAGATATTTGCAAATATATTTTATATGTCAATAGTGAGAATTGTAGATAACTTGATTTTATTGACCAATTGAAATTGACCGCTGATTTTTATTATACGTACATGCGATTTAATCCCATTTACAAAATTTCATAAATCGTGCTTAAAACAGCATCTTTATATTAATGTATCTGTATCGTTTGCTCATCATATTGTGCATTATAGCATATTTATTTATATTTATTTTATTTTTTTATAATACAAAATATTTCAAACTAATTTCGAAATTCATTACTTTCTTCTTCAGGCGCCGTAGGTGGAGATGGCGGTGATGATGGTGACGATAAGGAAAAGGCAGAGGAGGAGGAGAGAGAGCGTCAGGAGGCCATACGTGAGGCCGAAGAACGGCGAAAGGAGAAGCATCGTAAGATGGAAGAGGAGCGCGAAAAGATGAGACAAGATATTCGTGATAAGGTAAATAATAGTTACAATACAAATTTTTTAAATAAAAACAAGCTTTTTCAAACCAAAGTTTTTTTTTTTTTATATAAATTGTATGGTTGAATGTTAAAGAAAGCAAGAAATAACTGCTGGTAATATTATGCAAGAAAAATTTTGCTCAAAATACCCCAGTTTGCTAAATGTGATTTGTTTGCATCGCTAGAGTAGAAAGCTTTCATAAAAAAGTGAGCTTTAATGAAAATATTGGATATACGTCAACAGAAAACATATAAAAGTTTATAGTTAAATATTTTAACGCACTGTTTGAGGGCAGGGATGTGCATGACAAAGTAGTTTTAATAATTTAAAGAAACTTTTCAGGAAATTTTTATTAAGTAAAAACTATTCTAACTTAAAAAAAAAAAAAATTTTAACGAGACTGAAACTCATCCATAACCGAGGGTCAGCAAAATTTACGTTTAAGTTTATATTGCTGTCTCTCATAAAACAACAATTTAAATAAAAAAAATACATTTGGCAAAAATATTAAAATAATACGCATAATCACCACAAAACCCGAAAAGCTTCATTTACAGCTTAAAGCAAAAACCCGCACATCTTAGCCATCATTTATTACACACGAGAAATTTGTGTAATTCATGCGCCAACACTTTACTCCCAAAACTCTATTTACACCTTGAAAATTAAATGGCTTATGGCAAAAACCCGGCATAACACCACGGAAAGCGCTGCATAATAGCGAAATGCATGCAAAGCACTTATTTGAATCAACATAAATACCTCTCTTTTTACTGACCCTCCATTTAGTGGCTTAAGCTGCGCGCGCGCTGAACTTTCACGAAGCCGCCGACAACACGTTCAATTTGAGGGCATGGAAAGTTTTTGCCAGCAAAAGTTGGCGAAAGTATAACAGCAAAAAAGTATACGTCAGAATTGCAACTCCGAAACTCTGCCGGAGAATGAAGTAAAAACTCATAACTCACACTTTTATGTAACGTTTCATGCATTAAACTGCGTCGCTATTGTCAGTAGTTCGCATTTTTGCACTTCCTATTCTGATAAGTCTGGTGTCTGCTGTTTTTAGCCGCTATCATGGCTGTTTAACGTGTTGTTTAACAACTTCCGTTGGCACTAACAGCAACACCACTAATGCACTAGGCGACGTCGGTGTTAACAGGCAGCTGGTTTTGTGCACCAAATGCTTGCCTGCAAATACATAAATACACTTTTTGTTGCTAATGTTTTTCAAAGTCCGGTACACAACGTACTTAAACACTTCTGAAAGAGAAAAAATGCAGACGTCTAGAGAAATATGGTGGATGTGCATGAATTAGCAATTTCGTTAAAATAGTTTAAAGTTTAAGTTCACTTTTCTTATTATTTTAAAAAATTATAAACACTATAGGTTAATAGTTTTAACTGTTTTAATTAATAAGAATCTAAAAAGTTCTTTTTTATAATTTTTTTTACGAAAAATATTTCCTATCTTTTTCCATAAGATATTGAAATTTTCTAATTTTCTACTTTATTCCATAATTTTTTTTTTTTTTTTTTTTTTTTTTTTTTTTTTTTTTTTTTTTTTTTTTTTTTTTTTTTTTTTTTTTTTTTTTTTTTTTTTTTGCTTACTCTGCTTCACACTACTGTTCCTCAATCTCCAGTTTTCTCCCCTTAACTTTCGTAAAGCATGCGGCTGTAAATTTTGTCAACCAATCGTGAAAACTTTCTCATTAAAAAACTTTCAGTAAACGAAAGTTCTTTCAGCACTGACGTTACCATACATTTGAAAATGTATACTCATACTTATTCAACTCGCTCTTATTTTCACATTACACCTCGTATATACTGTTACTTGCTATTTTTTATATATTTAATCACAGTTCCTTTTTAAAGCTCAGTTGCAAGCAAAGGGCCAGCCAATTTTCATTACATAGTTTCTTGCCACATAAATTTTACTGAAATGAGAAATATTTAAAACTCTCGAAACTGGAAAAATTTCTTACCAACAAATTTTAGTGCGTGCGAAAGTTCCACAAGCAAGCATTTTCTACCATTTTTTTACATAGATTTAATTTTTATTCTTTTATCAACATTTTCCTTGTGATAAAGGTCGGTATTCTAATTTAGTAGTCACTACCATACTAGTTGAGTGACAGTAAATATTAAATAATGCGCTGAAATTTGTTGCATAGCGGCAGGCGCTTTCTTGATGCGGCGGGGAAATATCAAGCGCCATAATAAATATTTTTTATCAACAAACCATATAAAATTTAAAATAATATTTTAAAGAGAGATAATAAATTTTTATAAGAAATGCAGGAATAAAAATTAATGCAAAGAAATAAAAAAAAGGGAATTAAAACAGATCACCTCTTGATTAATACTTATAACATAAAACTTCTCAAATAACTAAAAGCAATATGAAATAAAAAATTGTTAGTAAATTATATTTTTCTTGCGGAAAATCATCGAGTCTAACTGAGACTTTATGAGAAAAACAAAAGTTATGAGTTGAAGCAAAAATTTTTTAATAAAATATTAAAAGTGTATATATTTAAGAGTCAATATTCAAGTAAAGTGCTGTGAAAAAATATTATTATTTAGATAAAGTGTGGTGAATGCAGTGCAAGATACCTTTTGTAGTTCAAATTGACTCTAGTAGGGAGTCCTTTTTACGAGCGACTCCCTAACGGAGTCAGATTGATCTCTGCAAAGGTCGACAACAAACAAATTTTCGTTATAATTAATTTATAGTACATATTTAAATATTAAGTAAAAGTGAAGTGTTATGAGAATATGAAATAATGTATATTAAATTAGAAAAAAATAGTTAAAAATTAAAAATTTAAAAATAAAAAATTTATAAAGAAAATTTAAAAAATATACAAACGTAAAATCATAAAAACAAAAAAAATTAAATTTCTTAATAATTAAAACCAAAATAAATTATTTAAAAAGCAGTTTTAGTCATTGAATTAAACTTCTTAATTTATAATAAAAAAATTTAATTGTTTAATTTAATATAATTTATTCTGACAGCATTTATTGTCAGTTTCCTCTTCTAAATTTCCAATTTTTAATTTAATTTAATAATGTAATTAATTACATTTTTATTTAATTTAAAATCATTAATACAATAAAATAATTATATAAGAAAATCTTAAATAACCAAACTAAAATAAACAAAAATATGATAAAATTGGAATCAAAAATTAAAAACAGAAGAATACAAAAATTGTAATATAAAAACAAATAGTGAAATATTTGTACAAAATATTAAAACAAATATTTTTTTTAATATTGCAAAATAAATATAAAAAAATTCAAAATTTTTAATTTCGTGAAAATAACATGCTGCTTTCTTCTTCTTCTTATTCGATGTAAATTAAACTCTGTTACTCAACCTAATCCTCGAAATTTTAGTACCACAAGATTTAACAAACACTCAAGCTTAAGAAACAATTTATTTTCACCACCAAAGAAACACAAGTAACAAAAACAAAATAACTAAAAAACTAAAAACCTCCTCGAAGGTTTTATATTTAATATAATACTCAAAGGAGAACACTACAAAACAAAGCACGCCAGGAATGATAAATGATTACTCTAGCACAGCACCATCATTTCATTGCACTGTTCACCTTTCGTCGCCGATGGCGCCACAGTCTTAACTCAACTACATTCACACTTAATTAATCGTATACAAGCTTAATTAATTACCACAAATATGCATACAAATATATCAGCTGAGGTCATTTGAAGTATTTGCCTGAGTGGTGAGAACCTAATCCAGCCAAGCTCTCAAAGGCAGGCGGAACTTACAAGCAGTGTACCATATATACTTATATATATATTTTTTTATTAGAAAGAGATGAGAGAACGATGAAAATACGCTCCTTACTTTACAAAGTGCAAACGCTTAATTATATTTCCGCTTGGCACGAAGAGATGCTAATAAAGAACATAATAAAAAGCAAACACAATAATAATTTATGTTAGCAAAGATGTTGTGAAACCACAAACACGTCGCTGGATTAATGGAATTTCCAGTAAAGTTTAAAACGATCGAAGAGCGTAAATGCTAACGGTGCTAAAGGTGACAAAGTAAGCACTATTCTTTGTGATTTCAAGCTCTGCTTCTTTAATGTTGGCTGCTTCAGCAAATTTTTGCTTTGGTATTTTAAACAACAACAAGTGTATACAAAAAATCTGTGTTTTATCATTGAGGTTGCTCTTGAATATATTTTTCATTATACTTACTAGAAAGCAAAGAGCTTACCAAACACAAATCTGTCTCAGTGAAACTAAACTTACGCTAATTTCAAGTCCGCGGAATGAAAGTGGGCATTTGTAACGGCCACATAAAGTACAAAAAAACTAAAATAAAAAAAAAAATAAAAATTGTGAAGCGACAAAACAAGAAAAAAAACTACTATATCGTCTATTTGAAAATTGTAAGAATTTCACAATAATAATAAAAAAAAAAAAATTAAAAATTGGTAGAGCTTCATGCGCCCTTCGATGGCGCTAAGAAAGGCTCTACAATACTAGAATAATCGTAGCCTTCTGCGTGGATAAGTCTCAAAGCAAAATATCTATCAGAAAATATTGCCCGTATAATCAAAGGGTTCGTCACTACTGTACAAGTTGTAGCTAAAGGAAAGCTAAAAAATCTCTACCAGAAGCTATTGTCCACTGAATGATCCACAATCAAACAAAAACAAAAAAAAATCAAAAATTTACAAAATTATTTTGCGATGACATTTTCGTTTCTATTACATTAGAATGACACATTCGATCTTTAAAATTTAAAAAATAATTGCTTATAGCTTTACAAAGATAAATATTCGAAAGTCGAAATCGTCGAAAAACCTATAGCAAAGTTTTTAATAAAAATTTAAAGTTTCGATGTTTTGTCAAATTAAATTAAAATATTCAGCAAATTCTAGTACTTTAAAAGCCTTCACCAATAAATTAATAATTTCTCTGCAAAAAAATATTCTCTTGAAGCACTTCCTCATCAAAAGGATCACAGAAAATTAATTTATTAATTATAGCCACTATTGTGTATTGTCTTAAATACAAGTCTCTATATGTATATATTTATAAATGTTTGCATGGAAGTGCCAACCTACTGCCCTTTATCTTGAAGCTCGATGAACTAACTATGCAATATTCAATGACTTGTGTCACTCAAGGGGAAATCGATACGTGTTCAATATTATCTAGACATGTGTTACGAGTATCAGCCTACTTTTACACATAAGCACATATGTACATGATGTACATAATAACGCATTACACATACGAACGACATAAAGCAAAGCTAAAGCCAAATCCCGGTCATTTGATGAAGCGTGTGTTTGTGTATAAGCGTTAAATGCGAACACATAGCAACTTTTCCAAGAATTTTAGCTAAAGGGGAGAAACTTAAACGAGAAGTGGAAATAAAACACATGCAGAAACACATAAGCGCAGTGAATGAAGAACAAAAGCAAAGCAAAGAGCCATTGGCATTGATTGAGTGCGAATGTGGTGAGGCGGTGCCAAAGGGGACTTTTCAAGCTGTCCAACAAAGCCAACCTTTGTCACACCTGCCAAGCTATGTGCCAAACTCGCACACAGGCACACTCTCCCACCACACGACGAGCCTCAAAGCTGCTTGAGGCCCCTTATTGTAGTCAACCACAGCTTTGGCGGAGTTGTAGACGGCGTAATTGTGCTGAGCTTTGCCGTTTATGATGTGGGTTATGTGCTCGTAGCGAATGCGATAGGGCCGTTTAAGTGACACTAAAACCGTTTTATGTGCGCTAGCAGTAAATGTAACCTACAAACGACCTTGGATGGCATTGAAAGGCGCGTCAAAGTAAGGAAATGTGTATGTAAGTGGAATATCAATGCGAAATGCTTATTCAAGTTTCATGAACGAACAACTTTTAAGCAATAAAATCAATATATATTTAAAACAGAAGAATTCTACGCAAACAATTTTCTGCAGATTTATTTCATAACTCTAAATTGTAGACAGTGATAGAAGTTTTCTCAAAATTACCATTTCTGAAGTTTCTGAAGGAATTTTTTTCGAACCTAAGGTCTGAGACTATTTTGTTCCACTAGAAATTTTTTTTATATATTAATATCATCAGCTGAACCAACTGCATTTGATGGTTGAGTTTTTAGTAAACCCACGTGATTATAAAATATATATCATAAAATGGTTTTCGAATAAAATTTCTTACATTTTTCTATACATTTATCTTAAGCTAAAGAAGAGTGGGATCTCAGAAAAAAATTATCTGTGTGTAGTATTAATTTTTTCTTATTTTTCACAAAAATTTAGTTGAATTTTTAATAGTTCATAATGATTTATGTCGATTTCCAGTCAAACTAAGAGTACTCTGAGAAAAAGTTAAATAGCAAGATCGTAGGTAAAAAGGGATCTATCATGTATATTATAACTTTTTTTACGTAAACACATAATTTATATGAAAAATTAAATTAACTAATATTTCGTATATTTTTTACATTTTTTAAAAAAAAGTTTTTATTAACTCTTTATGATTCAACTTCTTCCTTATCTATTTTTTCTCCTTATTTTGATTGAATATCGAAGCAACTTACTAATTTTCAATCAAAAATCCCCCCATAAAAATGCAAATTTTTTTTAAAACTCAGTATGCTTTACTAAGTTTGCTTAAGTCTTCAATATCGAATCGCTTTATCTTAATACAGAAATCGATATAATCACCAGCTCAATAGCTTTAAATACACCAAAAAACATGTAAAGTCGAATTCTGCGTTCAAATTTAATATTTGTAGAACATTTCGTATTTAAGTTGCGGCACAAGTATTGAGCTTAGTCGACGCTATTGACGGACGAGCTTTCCCGCATACAAAAATACCACAAAATATATTGTACCCGAGTATTAAATAGCTCAAAACCAAGTAAATAAGTAAAATTTACAATAATCTCAAATAAACTGAATTCCATGAAAAATTTCATTTCTTAAATAAAGCGAACTCGAAAGAAATGGCTTAAGAATCTCCATGGCAACGCTTTATTTAATAAAGAAACACCAAAAATATACGCCCAAAATTCCATTTGAGTACCTTTAAAGAAATCTGAAGTTAAGCAATACACACAGTGAAATTATTCACAATATTGTACATGAAGCTTAAAGCTTAAGCGACGTCAAAATTCCATAACAACACAGCGGGTATCAGCGGAAATAAAATGCAGCCGCCGGGAATGACAGGTACACAGCCATGAAATCAATCACTAAGCAATGACAATTCGTAAAATGGCGTACAATCACGCAAACATGAAGAGTACTTACAGAAATGCGCTCAGATAAAAGTGGTTGGTATTTCCAAGAAAAAAATCAAAAATAAAGGTTGTGAAACTTTATGCATATAAATCTGCTTGAAAGCACAAGCTACATGACAAATGCGAGCGTATGAATAAATGAATGGATGAATTGTCGAGTTGTGGAATCAAAAGTTCAAGCAGAAACTGGGTTAAGTAAAATTTAATTCAGAGAAAAATGCGCAATCACATTACCGCAATGACAGCAAATAAAAAAAAGCACGATGCTCACCTGTCTTTAAGTGAATCGCATACACTATAGATAAGTATAAGTATCATCATAAGCGGGAGAGCTTGGCTGCTTGTCTTGCTTAAAGCTATAGAAAACATCACTTTGGTGCCACTCGTGGCGGTATCGAGCTGTAATGTAATTCAATTTGTGTCAACGGAAAAATAACAGCAGAATGAAAAGAAAGGTATAGATGAAGAAAATAATAATAAGACTTGGAGTAAATAGAATTGTGTAATCGCACTGAGAGCGCTTTGGGGTTGGCAGTTGAGAGGGAAATGTAACAGCGATTTGAGGTGACGATTCTGAAGGATTCTGAGCACTTAAATTAAATATTGCGTATATTTATATATTTTTTTTAACTTTGTGGTCTTTAGATTTAAATATATTGAAGAGAAAAATAAAACAAATTGAGAAAACTTATTTTATGGAGTCAAAAGGGTTTCCTCAGGTAAAATACAGACTTTTTCAGCAATTTTTTTCTCATATAGAAAAGAAATATTTTATTAGATTTTTTTATTGTTACAAACATACATTATCAACAAAGAAATTCTGAAACTTTTGGAAAGAAGGAGCTTCATCTAAAGTGAAAATAATTCATGTTTTAGTTTAAACCTTAATTAGAACTTGGACGAAGGAAACTAACACTGAAAATTTTTTGATTTTTGGCAGACATTTTTGCAAAAGAATGAAAATTTCAGTAAAAAAATAGCGAAATTTCTATCAAATAGTTGTAATCGAAAAATATAAATAAATTCTTCGCCCAATGCTTAAAGAATTATATCTCAAAGGCATTAATAAAATAAAATGAAGATCGGTTGAGTAGTTCTCGAGAAATCGTTCAGTTCATATGGCACCTAGTTGTTCGACAACAAGAGTTCCGACAAATGAGCAGACTCGTGGAAAGAACAGAAAGAATTTCAGATCGATAACTCAAAACTAGGATACCAGTACGCGTATCGACAGACATGCATGATTAAATCGACTCTGAAACTCTTCCATACTTAATAATTCCCGTTGTGGGCATACATGAAACAAAGATATTAAGTAAAATGTATCTATTATTTATAAAATATAATTTTATTACATATTATTTTCCAAATGTCTAATCCTTCCTTTCTTCATTGCAGTACAACATAAAGAAAAAGGAGGAAGTTGTCGAAGCCGCGCCCCAAGAAGAACCCAATCCGCTGATGCGAAAGAAAAAGACGCCCGAAGAGTTGGCTGCCGAAGCGGAACAGGAAGAGTTAGACGATTTCACAAGTAAGTTACATAATTTCCACGCAATTTGCAAACAAAACTAATAAACAGAAAAGAAACTTAATTCCTTAATAAAACGTAATAAAAAGCATCAGAGATAAATTTGACACAACAACACAGTGGAAAAAGGTTATCTTTGAAGCGCACCAATTTCAAAACTACTGAAAACTCTACTATGATTCTTCTAAACACTTCCTTACTGCCACAAAAGTATCGAAAAAACTAATACTTTGAACTCAATACATTTATGCTACTACTAATACTAATGCTACTTACTATATATTCTCTTCAATGTTAGCTAGTTTGATGTGTGTGCCGCAAAATAGTATTTATTTGAAATATTTCTTTAGTTTTTTGTTACGAAAAATTTTGAAATTTTTTTTATTTTCCGATTTACTATGCAAACTAACAATTTCGTACAACTTTGAACTGTCGCTTGAACTGTTTGCGTTAATCAAAATGTACTCAAAAACACTCTGGCACTTAAAACGAAACGACAACATGCGCCATAACTAAAACACTTGCCAACTAGCCTAAACTTACAGCAAAATTACAACGCCAAGAAAAAAATTCCAGTACATCTACTTACAAAAAATAAACGCTAATTGCTTAGAGTTACATAAGAGTTTATGATAAAGTAAAAATAATAACAACATTTCAACGATGAGCGTGTTTCTGAGCCAGCAAAGCAGCGGAAGTACACAGTCGACATTTTGAACTTCGCGCTTATTAACTTAATTGTCTTTGTAATAACAGCTATTAAATTGTTGCCTACAGCAGACTGGTCGCAAATTTACATGGCTTAAATATTTTTAAAAATTATAATTAGCTCGCTGTCAAGCGTGACCCTACGGTTCGTAGCGTAAATATATATTATAAAGTAATACAAAAATCGAAGGAATTTTGAGGAACAATATAGCACGGAGTCATGCACCTATGACTCTATATAACTTTAAAAGTGTTTATGTAGTAGTTTCTGAATTATTTTTTCGCGTTTTTTAAGCTCAGAACCAATATTCTTTATAAATGAGCTAAAAAGGTCACAGCAGACATGACAAAACCGCATTGAAGCAGACTGGATGACTGCAGAGGGGTACCAAACTACTCTAGTCAATTAAGGCGTCAACAACAACAACAAAATAAACACTGCCGCAACAACAATATGACAACTGGAACACTATAAGCTCAGTTGAAGCATGCTCCATGAGCTATTAAAGAAACGCATACAATACGAAATCTATCGGCAACGCGTTCTCTCCCACTTCACATCGTCTCAATGTTCCATCTACTAACTTTACTTATATACCTTTTCATTAAGTGCTTCTTCGTTTGTGTAGTTCAGTAGCACTCTTTTTATTTATAAATTCTATCTTTTGTCAGTTGTATGTTTGGTCAGTACAAGTATTTAGCACACCTTTCCGCGCGTCCACTCTCCGTTATACAAATTAAGCGAGAGACAGCAAATGCACTCAACTAAACAACTAATTCCAGACTAAAAATAAACTAAAACGAAACACTAAAAGCAACTATTAAGGATACGCCAATCAAAACAAACAAACAAACAAACAGAAAGAGCAATACAAAAGCATTGCAATACCGTTATATCTAGCGATTTGTTGCTGTCAATAAACAGTTGCAATGCAGTAAAGCCGTTAATTGTGCGCTATTTTTCCGCTGCTAATCCCTTTTACGTTTTAGTATGGTTGTACGTTTGTGTGTGTTGTTTTTAGTATTTTAGTTTTCCCATGTTTTTGTTTTTGTAATTGCTACTTTAAAATTGATTACGCTTTCAATTTTTAATGCACGTACACTTGTATGTACACACATACAAACACACATTTGGTATTATTATCACAGCGTTTACGTTGATTGCAATTGCGACTAAAATTGTCGAATCGCATAGAAATGTAATCAATAAAAGTTGTTTTGTATTGGATTTGTTTTCAATTTATACTAATTTAGTTGTTTATACTAATTTATTTGATGCATTTATTTTTAAGTTCCCAAGGATTCGTTAATAATTGTTCATTCTAAAAATGGTAATAAAAATATAAAAAAAATTTTGAAAACGTAAATGCAAATGACTCGTAAATGTAAGTTGATTTTTAATGAGTTTCCAAAAACTTTAAATACATCTTTGCAATATACTATATACTATTAATTTAAAAATAGAGACGATTTTATGCAAGCTTTTATACTTCCATTTCTAAACCTTGATAAAACGCAATTTGAGCGCAATTTTTTTGGAAGTGAATGGAAATTTTTTTATACATGGCTCAAGCAGCTCATGACCTATGGTCTTAGATGAAGTATCCTCTGAGTAGCCTAGAAACATCCGTTTGAAGGTGAGCTAAAGCGGGGCATCAACCCCATAGTTTTACGCTGGGTTTGGGACAGGCCACGAAGAAATGTAGTAGATATGAAAGAACCTTGTTAAATTAAACAAATTTTATTAACCCCAAAACAGCAGGTGCCGAAACGGATTCTTTATGTTGGAACATTTATTCAAGCGTTGTCTTTCTCGGTCCAACATTTTTTTGCTAAGACCGACTTGTTCGCAGTATAAGTCGCTACTTTTTCTGCACGGACTTAAAAATAAAATTATAGAAAACAAATATTTTTTATAAACCCTTAAAAAAAATGTCTTTATGGAGCATTATTGCATAACTTTAAGAAGTCTAAAAAATTGGTTATATAGTAGATATGTGATATAGTTCTTCCATGAGACCGATTTCGATTAATGATCAGTAAAATATCAATAAAGTTTCATTTGGATATCCCGAAAACTGATGATCCAGAACAAACTTCGTTATAAAAATTGCCAGCTTCGAACTGATTTAAGGTCCTTAGGCTCTTACGCAAAGTAGTTCAGAATGATTTGTGAATTTTTTCTCGTATACCCGATTTTTCTCTTGTTTCAGCTCCCTGTAAATCAAACCGTTCTGTTATACATAGCTTTTAGTATAACTTCCGTCTAATAAAATAAAGAAATCCAACAGTTTAATAATATGTATGTAGTTACATACGATAATAGCTTATACAGACAGTAGCCTCGAGTGATCTTCTTGTTACAATAATTCTTTTTGATGAAATGAATCCTGTGCATAAAAGTTTTTTTTTTCGAAATATGCTTGGCAGGCCCAACATAATCAAAGGAAATCGTTTCTGTATGTGCACTTTTTGGCTCCAATTAATTGCGGGAGCGGCGTTAACATATTTATATACTACATACTCGTACTCGTAAAAATGTACAACAACAACAGGAAAATTTTACGTGGGTACCTGCTGACGACAGCCTTACTCCACGGTACTCAAAAGTACAACGGATCAAATCAAAGCGTTGATCAGCGCCCTGAAAATGCCAGGCACTTTCAGTACCAATTGGCAGTGTGGAATGGACACACTAACCACCTTGGTAGGGTTCCAGGCCTATCTAAAACCTCTGCCGTACTATGGGTCCGGCACCCGGTTGCAATGCAACTCCACATCGAAAAGACAAAATGCCAATTCTACCCGCATTTGGGTATAAACCACAACCACCACGATACTCCCCGAGGGGCCAGTCCGCATGAGCAGGTTGGAGTTACCTCCAAGGGCTCCTGCTCCCCGTGGAACCAGAATTAAGTCTCCGGTCAGACCTCGTAGCCGAAACTACTACCAGTTGAGCTTCCATACAGCTCCGGACTGGTGGCAAAAAAAAAAATGTAAAAATGTACAGATCACTAGTTAGTTTTGGGTATAAAGGATCCTTTTCCGCAATTGAGCCACTCCACACTATGTGTAACATAGTTAACTCACGCTTATCCTCTATATAAATTTTATAAGATCTCTGTAGTTTCCTTGTGGTCGTTAAAAACTTCGGAACGACATAAAAACACCTTGTCTCGGGCATAAAGAGGGGATACTCCACTTAATTTCACTGAAATCTTTATGCAGTTTCTCAGCTGCAACTACTGATACAACAATTTTCCACAAATAAAATTCAAATAGATTTAAAGCTTCTCTTACAAATTCTTCTCATACAAATTTAAATTAATTTTCTCAACTATCGTCACTCTTGGGGGCGCCCTTAGTCGCTTTGCGCTTAATTTATTATGTAAAATGCTACAACAGCAGCATAATGAAAAAATAATGAGTTCTTAAGTTTTACTAAATACGCCAACACTCTTTTGATTCATTCAAGCGCAGACAGTCCGCACTTCAGAGAATGCAATTGCCACTTGCTGAGCTGCTGATTTGGCGCATGACTGTGGCCAACAATATGCTACAGCTGCGAACTGAGCTGTGCTTACTCAAATAGCATTGAAGGGACCAAACACGGCAAACAAATTAGAATGCCCAACAATGGCAGTGCAACTGCCATCTACTTTATTTTTATCACTCGTATTCAATTATACATGTATTTATCTCATTGCAATGCACACTCACTCGTTGGAAGGCAGCACAAATGCACTGGGGCGTATACGTAATCAGAAGCAGTTTGCTTGCATTTAAATTGAAAATTTGCACTTGTTAACTATGCTATGAAGGCAACAACAACCACAACAAGGCACTCAACAAGAAAATGAATAATCTAAAACGAGTAAAAACAAACAACAAAAAAAAATGTGAATGGCAAGTGAAATGCAAGAATAATAGGAAACTTAAAATGAAATGAAGAAACAGCAGTTAACAAGTCTAAGTGTATATATATATGTGTGTGTGTGTGCGAGTAAGTGCAATTGTAAATGGCATATGCAAAGCTACACTAACAATCTGTCGTGCAAATGGGTTTTATCAACTTATCTGCCACACTCAACCAACCAAACCAACCAAGCAACTCGCCTTGACGCTTAAAGCTGCCGCATGCCGCACCGAGTGGCGCTTTGTGTAAATTTTAAATTTAATCTCGTCGCTTTCGCAAATTAAAAGTTTTTGCGGTTGAGTGAAATTCAACAATCCGCAATTAAAAAACTACATCTAAAATCTTAAGCGTTCGCCTTGCTACTTCGGTGCACCGAAATCATTTGCATATTTTTGCGGCTGCAGCTGTGCCAACCGCACCAATTTGCCGTGATAACGCTAGCTACGCCTTGCAATGCAACTATGAAGATTTCCTTTTTCAATTTGCTTGCAAAATTCAATTAAAATTCAAAAGCTTTAAATAAACTCTTTTAGTTTCTTCTTCCAATTAGGTGCTTCTTTGCTAACTGCTTCTAAATTTTATTCAAATGTATTTGGCTGCACTAATTTTAAGTAAATACTTCAATTAAGTCATTTAGTTGGCAAATATTGGTTTTATGCATGTCTGCTAGCAAATGCGAGTACGTAGTATGGAGTGTCGAAGGGGGTTGGAGAAAAAATTTTGTGAAAGGCGACAGTATGAGAAAAAGCAGCAAGATTATCTACCTAAAATGGAAATGATTTTAAAGTTTCGATCTGAAACATATGTTTGTAAAAGGTAGAGTTGCTTTGGGCGAACAAAAAAGTTTGGCTTAGCAGCATCTAATTTTGATCATTCAGTTTTTATGGCAGCTATACGCTATAGTACACCGATCTAAACAATTTCTTTGAAGATTGAAGCTCTGCCTTAGGGAATAATCTCTGCTACATGTCGTGAAAATATATCATAAGATGAAAAGTTTTCCCTACAAGCAATCATTCCGATCGTTCAGTTTGTCTGGCAATCCTATGCTGTAGTTATTAGATTTGAACAATTTCTTCAAAGATTACACAGTTGTGCTTGAAACCAATCCGTGCCAAATTTCGTGAAGATATCTCGTCAAATTAAAGGGTTCTTCATACAAGTATTTGATTTTGATCGTTCAGTTTGTATGAGACCTATATGTTATACACATCGGTCTTAACAATTTCTTCGCAAATTGAAGCACTGCTATAGATAATAATTTGTGCAAAATATCGTGAAAATAGCTCATCAGCTGAAAAAGTTTACCATACAAGCACTCATTCCGAACGTTCAGTTTGTACGGCAGCTACATGCTATAGTGGATCACTATCAGCGATTTCGACAACCGAAAATTTTCTTAACGAAAAAAGAATGTATGTAAAATTTCATATCTATATCTCAAAAACTGAATACACAGCTCGCGTATATACAGACTGCAGACCAATCGACGACTCAACTTGATATGATGTTCATTTATAATTCTAGGATGTAAATATCGAAAAGTTGCGTACTTTATGGAATATCAAATATTTCATATTCATATCTAGAGCCTAATTCATTCCTCTTATTTATTAGCGTAACTAAAATCACTTTCAAAGTACTTTTTCCTCGGCCAATAACCTTCCATTGCCTTTCTCATAATTGTAGAAATATAGAAAAATATATTTCGAATACAAAATACAAACATATTTTCTAGTAATTAATCCATTCACTGTCCTACATTAAAATATCAACCGCAGTCATGTTAACGGCAAATACTAATCTAATAAATCTGCGGAACTTCTGTTGTACGCCACACCCGGGCGTATGAGTAATTTATTGCCAACTCGCCGATGGCAAAGCACGCATAATTAAATTGTTTATTGGCCCATTACTGGGCCGCAAATTCTTATTTTAAAATTCATGGCTCTCCCTTAACCGGCAAAACTGTACATTGAATACTTATACGGCGCCCAGGTTAAGTGATTCTAAATAATGGTGTGATTTCAGGCCAACCGCTTCAAATAGCATAACAGCCTGCTGCGCCTCGACCAACAGCCCAGCTAGCTATAAATTCAAAAGACTTGCATGTAACATGTGGCAACGCAAACTCATTACAATTTTTCATATTTATTGTAAGGTAATAAATTTGTAAGCCGGCAAATTACCATTAACGAGCCAATAAAGGAAAGGATGTCCGCGAAATTAATGAAGAAATTTATTCATTAAGCGTAAAAGAAGGAAAAAATGTTGGGTTATAAAAGACAGATGTTGGTTGATAAAATTGAAGATATGTTTGAAAATTTATATAGCGTTGTAAGCTGCTGCTGTGGTTAGCAAGGCGTGTGCTTGCGTGCTATTTGCTAGTTGTTTAATGTAGGCATTAATAGAAGTTGTCTGAAGCGATATTTTGAGTGGAGATTTATTAAAAAGTAAAATGAAAATAATATTTTTCACTACTGCTTTTCGTTTTCTAAGGTATGAAGAGTTACAGGAGTAAGAAATCAAGCAGTAAAGGAGTTTTTTTTTTTAAACAATTCAATTATCCAGCCGAAATATAAGCCTTTAAGTTTAACATTTCAAAACAAGCTTCGAATTCGATTAGGAACCACTGCTTCGAAATAAATTGGAAATTGCGTGAAATGACCTTCTACAAATCACTTTGAAGTTATATTTACTAATCTCTTAATAGCTTACGAATTTTTGCTTTTTTGTTGAGAAATAGTTTTGCAAAATCTAGCACGCATTACCTTGCTGAAGTATGTTGCTTGGCACACATATAAACGCAGTTTGAACAAAACTGCTTTACAAATGTTCCACTACAACTACTTGTGCTGCAAATCTACTTAATATCGCTACTTTAAGTACAACACTGTCACATAATAAAATCAAGAGCATGGCGTGTTAAAACATCATTAAGCGCGCAAAATACTGTTACCATTGCTACTAATATTACTACTACTACTACTGTTAAATACCGCAACTACTTTTGCTCTTAATGCGAGTGCTTACTTTGCGGACTGTGGAGCTTACAAATTGCCGCGCAAAGTGAGCTTATTCGTGTGACACTGATGCAATAAAGTTTTCACATCGGCAGCAAGTGTAATTAAAACCAGTAACATTTGTACTTTGTTGCGTGATACCTTCATATTGTATTGAGTTTAGCATCTAGGAAAAACTTTCCAAGAAAAGATTTCTAAGTGAGAATTTTTTATAAATAGATAAAAATAAAACACATTGAATACTCAAATAAAAGTTTTTGATCAATATACTAAGTAAGCACATCGCATTAGCTTCTACTTAACTTATGGCAGTCGCCATGTCGTATGAGTAACATCGAAGCCCAACTCTTGGTATACTCATACATAAAATTATGGCTTTATTTTCAAAGTAATAGGTACGCAGACAACTTGGAGAAAAAATTTAATTTAGAAAACTAGAAATTAAAAAAAAATTAAAAGAAAAAAATAAAAAATA